TTAAGCCTTCGGTAATCACCGGTTGGACGCCAGTCGTTGCTATCCTTTTTGGGAACCATGTGCAATAGTGATGCCCAAGGACTGTTTGACGGTTTGATAATGCCCAGTTCGAGCATGTGGTCGAATTCACTCTTCGCCGTTTGAGCTTATCGGGGGCTAAACGGCGCGCTTTGGATGCCACAGGTGGACCTGTGGTTGTGACGTGATGCATAACATTGCTGGTTATGCACGGAAGAGTGTGCTTCGGTTGCTGCAACTCTCGATATTTCTCCACAACTGCTTGGTAGGACGCGTCGCCTGATTGTTTAGTTCTAACGATGGCTAAACTCGGACCTACATAGGTGGTGCCGCCAATAGATAACTTTGTGTTGTTATCTATCAGTCGTCGACGGCGAGCATCTACGAGTAGATCGTAATGGTTTAGCAAGTCTATGCCAACGATGGGCATAGAGACGTCAGCAAGGAGGAAAATCCAGTGGATAGGTTCACGTAAACCTAGGTTGAGGTAGGCATACTGCCTCCTGAATGTCGCGATTGCCTTGCCGTTGGCTGCTTGAAGATTGAAGGATGGGTCGTGATGACGCTCTTTTGTCGGTGCGGGAAGGACGCTAACTTCTGCGCCGGTGTCGACGAGGTAGCGGACTTTCGTTTTAATGTCGGTGACGTAGAGCAAACGGCTGTTTCCGCCGGCTACGGTTGCCGTGATCACGTGCCGGCATGACCGTTTCCCGAGTTTGTGTCCTTGTTAAAACTACATGGTTTCCGACATTTTCTGGCTTCGTCTCCGTAAGTGTTATGAAACCAGCACCATTCAGGGTTTCCCACCCTGTTAGGTTTAGTTTTGGGGCAACCACGCAAGTTGCTGCGATGCACTAAGACGCGTTTCTGTGGAGTTCTACGTGAACTAGGACTTCGAGATCGTAGCAACTGCTTAACTGAGTTGCACAGCTTGGTCACCTCTGAATCCTGGCTCTCTGGTTTGTTGTGGACAGAATATACGTTGGAGACGGATCTGCCAGATATCTCCAGTGTTTTATCTGCTGAGGCTGCCAGGTCATCGAGTGGGACTGACTGCAGTGTCACCAACACGGTTTGCACCGGTTGTGGTAGTTTCGAAAGAAATAGTTCTCGGAAGAGGCCATCGTCGAATGTTCGTGCACCCATAACTTCTCGCACGCGTGCGAGGACTTCAGTGGCTGAGTTGCTGCCTAGCTCGATGTAACGAAGCAATTCGTCTAGACGCTGGCGATCTGTCAGATCACTTTTCTTCAAGAGTGTGGCCTTAAGAAGTGCATAAGGATCACTTACTTCAGGATTAAACATGTGTGCTGTAACATACCTAATTAATTCTCGTGGTAGTGACCGTATGACAGCAGGAAATCGAGAATGAGGATCTGAGACGCCCTGTTCTCGAAAATCTGCCTCGGCATACAGAAACCATGTTTCCGCATTGTCTCGGAAATATGGCACGAGTTGGATCGTGTACATAGTCGGCGTAATACGAATAAGCTTGGAAGTGTGGTCGGACATGAGAAAGTATAGTAAATGGATAAATAAATGTTATCGAAACGAAAACAATATACAATTATAAAATTGAACAGGCTCACTAATTCAATATTCGTTACTGTTCGGCATATGCGATCACGTCAGGATATTTGATCACGTCGGGCTCAACAATTTAGGATATGTCCTGGTACGAACTTCACAGACGCAAAGACCAGTCACCAGTTATTCGGACTTGTTATATACCCACGAATACGAGACCAAGGAAGAACACAATAGCGTAGTCTGATGGAATAGTATATTCAGATGGTTGTGCCAAAATACCGATGCGTTCCAACTTACTGGCTAGAGAGTCGAATACGAGCAGTGCAACGTAACACGACAGCGTGCCAAATGGCTAGGATGCTTGATCGGGTGCCTTCAGTTTAGCGAGTCCAGTTAAACTATCAAGGTCAGCATCAATGTCGAAGTCGTCAAACCCTAGGCTATTGATTTTGGGGAAGTGTGTGACGCTACAATACTCTCAAAAGAAGGTCAGACGAACATTTAGAGCCTTGAGTTACGGATAGGCTGTACTTGAGAAGCTTTCCATCATCTACAGATCAGTGGGGGTAACACTATTTATAGAGACCAGACTAATTAGTAATCGATTATTTCTGTCTTTTTGGATCCATTGGGATCAAGAAGACAACTGTGATCCTTCTAAGCCTAGAACGTACTCCATTAAGACAGGTGTAGAACTAAGGGAACCACCGTTCACTAATTCAACAACACGAAGCCAGAAGTTTGAAAGGACGTCTTGACATTCCGGCGCTAGCTAAGAATATTCAGTGCTGTAAGTGAGGCGACTTTCTGGTGTGAAGTCGCGTCAACGTTGGGGAACTTCCTATCTAGCTTGCGAAGCAAAGAAAGACTTAGGTTAGAATAAATTTTGATGATGGGAAACCCTAAGGACGACCGATTAGGTTGCTCGTACTGTTTATCAGAGTCATTATACCATGTCCGCTTACAATATTGTTGATGCTGCATAAGTTGTCGATGAATTGTGGCTAACACTATATTTCTAGTTATTATCGCCTAAAGTGCAAGTACTCATAAATGTGATGTCACAAGGAGATGACTTCACCTTACGTTTCACTTGTCACTGCAGTGGGGGTGGGTATCAACATGTTCATAAAACGGAACATATAGACTTGCTTGGAACATTTGTAGTGATACACAAACGGAATGGCATGTGTGATTTAAATTAAAGCGCTACTTCTAAGAGCTGTCAGCGCGACCAAATGAACTGTATTTTTACTTTGTTTCACCACAGGATATTCGAGACTGGCCCTAGTGAAACTTCCAACTAGTTGTTGATAACTAAGTAACGGTTTGTCTTTGTTGCATACTAATCGATACTCAGATCTGGTTGATCGTCCAGAGTATATCCCGAATGCGTAGATCGTGAGCTACTTACCGTTTCAAATGTTTGGTTTTTATGTGTGGTTAGCAGTACAAACCTGATGGTGACAGTACCCGTTTTGTGAAAAATGATAGGACGGTATTACGAGGTGTCACCTGTGAGTGTCCTACCAGTGAATCTGAAGTGTGACATAGTCATACTGGAGCACTCACCATCCATCTTGTATATTGTTGAGAGATATCGCCTCAGGATAGCTCACTGTTGCAAAACCAACTTTGTATACTGACAACTTGGTGAAGGGTATTCCGCTAGGCTGTGATGAAAGGAGAATTATAATTTAATGTGCGAGCGTAAAAATTTACTGTGTTCTTACATCAGATAACACGTAGTCTGGACAATGGATCGGTCGGCGACCGAGCACTAGTCACAACACGGATTTAGTGTTGTACTTGCGAAGACTGATTGGAACTATACATGTTGGAAGTGCAAAGGGGTTATTTAGTTGCAGCTGGACGGAGTGTGCGGTTTATGAGGATACCTGGACGATGAGTTTCCGAGATACAACCCTGCTAAACATACGTCCAGAGTTCTACCTAAATTGTTTCGTGTGCTAGGCCATCAGGTTCATGCATCACTTATCAAAGGGAATGGTAGTGCGAGTGGTGACCTGTGAGACAAACGTGCTTGGAAATAACTAGGTGAATCGTTGAAGATGTTGATCAATTTATGTGGCTAAACATATGGAAAAGGTTATCAGCTCTTTCACAGTTAAAGAAACGGAAACGAGGATATATATGATTGTTGTGTTTTCTGGGCTGGATGGTTTAGCGGTGAAACTTTCATCGTCACCCTAGACACCATGATCAGCACAAACTCCAGAAGCAAGTGAGTTGCAAGGAATTCTCTGTAATCAACGTAGTAAGTTGTCCAGGTGATCTCGGGTTTGATCGGCGTTTTCTTTCGTAATACTATTATTGTCAGCATTCGTATTTCGACTGCTTCCTGTCAATCCAAACTTGAAATGAATCTCAGATTATAACTAGGGAATTTCGGATGTAATGATTGATGTCTTCTCTAGGCTAATCGAATAATATCTGCGACCGGTATATCCCCTAACCATATTAGAAAGTGAACTGAAATACTTGAAGATCATCGTACACTGACTGTTTTAGGGAGGGGAGTGTCAGAAAGGTGAAAACTAACAGCAAGCAACAAAGATGGTAAATTCCCGCATCTCGTTTCTATGAGTTTCTGAATAGCTTGAAACCCAGCACGAACTTCAGATGCCATGTGATTATTCAGCTTGTGGCTTAGCTGTGGTCATATATACTTGGTGATGTTACTTAATGGTTTTTAAAAGGTGTCTCTGTGGCAACAAGTATGTTGATATGATGTAATGTGGGTTCTTCACGTACATTACATGCGTTAATGTTCATACTGGAGGTTTCAAAATGGGCGTATAATGTACCCGAAAGGAGGCGAGAGATATTTTCTATATGTAAGTGTAAGAAGTATCTTAGTTACGGAAAGCATAGAAGGGATCTAGGGAAAGTACGACTATGGAGTTAAAACTGGTGGTTTAGCGGATGAATAGGACGTTACACGTAGGAAGCATGGAAGTTCGTTTGTGATTCAGTGTTCGGTTCAGGTTGAAGCAGTTTAATGACACCCATGAAGCTCACTATGGTAGGTATGCAGCCGGGTAGAACTAGGTAGTGGAAAGTCAAACTCAATTGACAGCCGTTTTGAAAAATTCTGGTGTGAAGATTTTGATGATGGACTGACTTTGAGTGTTCGTGCTAATCGCTTCGTCGGATTAGATTATATCAATGGGGTAACGTTTCGTCTGTAGGAGGAGGTTATGGTCTGTAGAAGTAGATATTAAAAACCATTGAGTATCTTTCGAAAGTTTTTCCTAGGCTGATTTGTTAAAATCCATCAACTGCATTTTCATTAGATCTAGTTCTATGCTTAAAGGTTTGTTGGAATAGTTGGACTTCATTGAGTATCAGTTTTCGCATGATGTTGAATCTGATGGATGTTCTTCACTTTATTTGTTCCGTTTTTACGAATGCCTATTATGACTCAAAGAATGACGCACTGTTCTATGTCGGAAATAAGTGAACAAGGTTTGTGCACTTCTTCAATAGAGACTACGCAGATGATGTCTTTCACTGATGAACGTTTTAGCCAAAATGCCAATGTGTGCAAAATCGAATATACTCACTTTGGTGAATTTTATGTTTGCACATTGTGTAACGTAAAGTGCACTGGAAGGAAACCCTTTCTACAGCATATATATGGATCAGTTCACAAAAGGAACTCCAATTCAAGTGAGACTCTAATTCCATATCATGATTTCTTCTGTAGACACATTTTTCGGAAATGAATGCAACGCGAACTTGAACTCTCTTGAGCAGTACGTCCCACATTGCAATGGATTGGGACATGAACGGAACGTACTTCCATCCTCTGAACGTTTGACTTCTGGACAAGGTTGCACCCAGCAAGGATCTGTTGGAGACAATGACGCTTCCTACTTTTGTACACCTTGTAGTCTTCAGTGTTCTTCTAAGAAACAACTGGATTGTCACTTGTTAGGTAGGAAACATGTAAGACGGTGCAGCAGACAAACAGCGTATTCGCCTGTTCAGCGGTCGGACAACGTTGTGTTGCAATCACAATCGAATCAGCTTGTTGACCTAGTGCAAGATTTTTCACAAATGCATACTTCGATGGAGTCAGCAGTTGGAAATTCGAACAACTCAACTAATGCAGAAATGGTTCCCTTTATTAGAAAGATCACAGAACTTGAGTCGAGACTCATATCAACGACTGGTGTTTCTCTGGTGTTTTCATCACTGTCATTTTGCTCACTTCCTCCATGTCAGCAACAAATGGACACAGATGACGCAGTCAGAGCATCTCTTCAACAAAGCACTTGTGACTCATATGAAAGCGAACACTTTTGTAGACACACTGCTTGTGTCTTAGTGCGATCATTGCAGGTGAGTTGGTGTTTTGCCACGATTATTTTTTAGATCTTATTTACACTAGACAAACAACAATTGTATGTTCTTGAGTAATAATAAATGACAACCGAATAAGGTTGCAAGTCCATGATCATGTGCACGTTGGCGTACTGCTCTGTAGGTTAACATCTGTGTGAAATTTGACTATATCAGGCTGGCAAAGTTGACTAAACAGAGCATATTTCGGTTTCATGAATCACTGGTAGATAAATAAATCCTTGCATATATCCACACGATGGTTAAATGAGAAATCGGGGTGGGTTTCTTTGTGGGAAACTGGGAGGATTTCTTCGAGTGCTTCTCGCGTTTTGAATTTTTGGAGGAAGCATCTCTTCTCTAATGATGACAAACTTACTAGAGAGAATTATGCATGCATCACCGAAAGAGAAGCATTTCTTACACGAAACGTTTTGTTATATACAACGAAGCATATGTTTCAACACGGTAGATCATAGTTTTGTACCGTTTTTAATGATCCTGTTTCACATGCTTCAATATTCAAAATGCAAAGCATATTTGTGACCGTGTTTAGAGTTAGTCGTTTTCCTATTTCGTCTTCTGCTCTGATATGTTATTAAAATGAGTTGGGAAGCAAAAGTTCATTCTGAGTTGTTTTGTTTTGGATTGTTGTGTATCTCGAGAAAGTTGTAATCAACATGAGTACGATGGACATTTCATATAGTTTACCTAAAAGTACAAATGCCTGCTACCAAGGTGAAATATCGTATTCTGCTTTGCAATAAGATGAATTATTGTATTGGTAAATGTTTGTTGGTGGACATTTTAGGTTTTGCGTGAAACAAGCTTAATGTCGAAGCCACGTGTATGTTATACAAATGGCACTAAATACGCGCCACTTCACCTTTCTAACGATTGTCAGGCTGTTGTGAAAGCATTGTGCTTATTCACTAGGAATTCAACTAGTCAATTTTAAAACAGCAGTAAACTTGTGTTAACTATTGTCATCTGAGGTTCTGAAGTCAAACAAGTTTTTTTCGAACGCTAAATTAAGCTAAATGGTATGCTTTTCATTGCAGACTCCATCTAACGAGACATGTTTGTGCCCTATAGATATGAACTATAGCACAGAACTTAACTATCGATTCTCATTCCACGAATAGCCGAGACTGAACGATCAATTAATATCAATATAGGACCAGGCATTACTGCGTAACGGTTGAGTTGCCACAGCTCATATCGGTACATCAAGTAGAAAGGTAGTGAGATGGAAGATGAAGAAAAGAAAATTCAGTCAAAAGAAATACAAAGTACCAAAAGAGAGAAAGGAAGAATGAGGGAATGGTGAGATTCGGTATGGCGTCGTTAAAATGAGGATAATGTGTGTATATATACATCTGCGCCACTGACATCGGTTCTGAGCCATATCGCCTAGTCTCCAATCACTGGTTCCTCTTGCCCCACGGACCCCAACCACTTAGTCTGCATCGCCCCACATGGCTCAAACCAACAATCAGAGACTTCATACATTGGTGCCATGTTTTAGTCTGGCCACCTCGGGCCTTTTTCCAGCCTGAACCCACCTCAGCCAACATTGTGTGACGAGGCAATCGGTGGCTGGGCATACGTAGTACGTGTCCCAACCATCTCAGTCGATGAAGGTTCACAACCTCGCCAACTGACTTACCTCTTCTCCCAAAACTCTACACCTAACTTCTGCATTACTCACGTGGTGACACCACGGTATACGTACTATATTACGAAGGCAACGGTGGTCAAACACCTGAAGCCTTTTTGTATCCTCCACTTTCAATGGCCATGTTTCACAACCATACAGTAGAACAGAGCGGACTGCTGTGCAGTACACGCGACCCTTAGTAGACAAACGGATATCGCGGTGGCGCCATAGGTGGCGTAAATTGGCAAAAGCCAATCGAGCCTTTTGTATCCGTGCAGAAATTTCATCGGCAACTAACCCACCAGGGTTGATCCTACTTCCCAGGTAAGTGAAGTGGTCGGCACACTCAACCACTTCACTCTGTAATGTTGGCCGCGGCACTGCTGAAGACCAGTCCTGGAGCAACAATTTGCACTTGGGTGGTGAGAACTGCGTCCCAAACATTCTCAAATTCCCACTCAAAGTGTTCAGAAGACTCTGCATCTTGTCAGCGTCTTCACTTAACAGGACAATGTCATCCGCATATTCTAGGTCTAACGAAAATTCTCCTGTGATTAGGTCAACGTCTGTGTAGTCAGGCGACGAGAAGGAGACCTCCATAAGAATATCTATGATGAAATTGAATAAGAATGGAGACAGTGGGCATCCTTGACGGACACCACTCGATGAGCATAGCTCCCTGGACAACTTGCCATAGGCTCTAACATGCCCACAAATGTTCGAGTAGAGAGCTTTCAATAAGGTTATATACTTACTCAGCAAGGCTTTCAGTGACAGACATTGCCACAAGACTTCTCGATCAACGGAGTCAAATGCCGCCTTCAAGTCGAGAAATACAGCTATTGTCGGGCATCTGTAAGCGTGCCTATGTCCCAGGACCTGGCGCAGTGTGAATATTTGGTCGGTTCACCCGCGGCCGGGTCTAAGTCCTGCCTGGTTTTCTCGGGCTTGCTGTTCCCGAGCTCCACTCAGGCATCGGAGAATTATAGAACCTAGGATTTTGGATACTATGTTCGTCAGGCTGATTCCTTTGTGGTTATCACAAGAGGACTTCTCGCCTTTCTTGAAGACTGGAATGATCAGTGATTTAGACCAGTCAGAGAGGATCGTATTTGATTCCCATATGCTGGTTGACACTTCCGTTCACCCGACTAAGAGCACTCTACCACCATCCTTGTATACCTCAGCAGGTAGTGCGTCTGGTCCTGCTGCCCTTCCTCTTTTCAGGTCACCTACTGCTTTCTCAACTTCTCCTAGTGTGAGGAGACCTATCTCAATGTTCGATTCAGCATCCGACTGGGTAGCAGGCAACGCGATGGTGGCTGGAGGCCAGTTAAACTGCTCCTGGAAGTGTTCTACCCATCGTTCCAGTCGTCTCCCCTGCGAGTGAATCGCAGATCCATCCTTCTCCGCTATAGCCTCACTAACTGTTATTGATCTTTTCCCCCCAGTCTCCTTAATAAGCCTAAATAACTGTCTACTACTACCGATCGCCACTGCCTTTCCCATCTCTTTAGCCTTCGCTGCCCACCACTGTTCGCGATCGTTGCGTAGACTTTTCATCAGTCTACTTTTAAGTTGCGCTCGCTCTTCATTGTGCTCAGAGCCTGCAGGAATGCGTTCACGTGCATCCATTAGTTTGGAAGAAGCTGCTGATATCCACTGTCTCTTTTCAGCCACTATTTTGGAGTCGGTTACAGTCTTCAGTGCTGCTTTTACGGCAGACTGGAGATGGCACCAAGCTTCTTCTGGATGTTTGACAGTCTTTTGTTCCGATAACTGCCTAGCCGACTTCTCACTGAACACTGCTTTGGTGTTTCCGTTTTCCAGCAGCACTCGTAGTGGTTGTGTTGCCAAATTTCCCTGACGTCCGTTGAGGCGCAGGCATATACGTGCTCGGACCAACGCATGATCGCTGTCCAAGTAGTACTACAGAAGGGTCGGCAGTCATCCACCTATCCTCTCCAGCGATGACTAATAGCAATGTGGTGTTCATCGCTGAGTTGAGCTCAGTGGACGCCACGTCAGACAGTTTCTTTCTTTATGTCTGAAATTGGTGCTGGCTAAAAATAGGCGGTTATCTGAGCATAGTTGTAATAGGCGGTCACCGTTATCTGTACATTCAGCTGGGATTCCGAAAGTGCCACCTAAGTGCCTTTCTGCCATACTTAGTCCACCCACCTGTGCGTTGAAGACGCTTGCCACAACCACCACGTCCGAACGTTTGGCTTTCGAGAGGAGGTTAGACAGTTTACGGTGGAACTCGTCCTTCACTTCATCCGAGCTGCAGTCAGTGGGTGCGTAAGCAGAGATTACAAAGAGACAATGGTGAGTCTCAGTATTCCTCTTAGTTCTCAACATGCCGTTCATCCTCATAGCACAGAGGCGATTATCAACTGGGATCGAGTCTAGTAGTGAGTTTTCTGCCCTAGTGCTTAGTTCCGTGCCTACACCTGCAAGACCGCGAGAGCTAGCTATCGAATCTCCAGAAACTCGGAGGGTGAATTTTGCGGATTCACCCGATTGGTCGGGAAAGGTCAGGTGAATAACCGCACTTGGGTCCTGTATGCGTGTCCCACAAACACAGCACACATCCCTAACCTGAGTTGCTAGAGTCTTTGCCAATGAGGCCTGTTGACCAATTTGACGGAGGGTGCGGACATTGAAGGCTCCAATATGTAATTTGGAGCGTGGTTTAAGGAGACCAAAGATGCTGTTCTGTGGACTCAGATCGTTGTCGAAGGCTGCAGAGCTACGAAAAATTGAAGATGATGTAGTATTGTTAGTTGAGAGGGGTGAAGAAAGAAGAAGGTAATGATGGAGGAGATGGGTAGCAGTCAGAAGAAACTTGAGTGCTGACAGAGTTGTGAGGGCGGTTGACACTTCCCCGAGACTGAACACTTCTGGTCAAGTTTGGGACAGGGTAAGGCAGTGGTGCATTCCCACTGTTTCTAGTGATTTTCAAGTTGTTGCCTATGTCATTCGATCTGGATTTCCCTATTTTACTACAGAGCACGTAATTTGAAGGTCGTTGAACGCCTGACTTCTTAGGACTGAGACAACATCTTCATCGATGAATACTTTCTTTTGGGAAGGCAAGTAATCACTGTCAAATTTCGTATATTTCTTCATCATGTAGCCTATCCATACTTCGGTTTGTATATGCACAATCAGTACTTCACTACTCATGTTGTTTTTCCTTTGGAGTTTGACAACCTAAGCAACTGTTCAATGTGTAGGGTTACCTAATCACATAGACCTAGTTCCAACCACTGAGTTACGCCTTCGGCTTGTGTCCTACCTAGCAACTTGTGGACAGTCAGGTTATACTTCTACAGTTACGCACTAAGTGGGGTCGAAAGTTTGAAGGTAATTTGTGAGTTGTAGTGTTGTGTGGTGTCTTTATTTCTCTCCTCTTATGGGTATTTGTTAAAGTAGTAGATAAAGGCGTAAGTGGTGAAAAAGGATAAATGCCGATTCTCTGAAACCAAGTAAAAAGGTGTTTCCCTCTGTCCATTGTGATAGATTCTGCATCAATCATCAGGGATCTATGAGTAGACGTCCTTTGCAATTTGGGGAATTCATCCTGTTGTGCTTTTTCCTGTTTTTCTGGAACGATTTGTTAAGGATTCTGTGGTCCGGTTCGGTTGCCGGTTTGTCGTGTGTCAGGAATGAGGAATGTACACAAATCTTGGCTGGCTCACCGAGATTTGTAGAATGCTATTTTCCGGTTCCATGTGTCTATGTTCGGTTAAGGTAAATCTTACTGTATGATAAAGCATCACTAAAATGTAGAGAAACTAAACGTCATTGGTCTTGTGCGTTTAGTATGCTTGATTCTTTTCAGTTACTGAAATGTTGACAAACGTCTGATTATGGGGGATTACCATTCAATCACATCGGTTGAAGGAAATTAGCTTTGAAAAGCAAAATCAGTTTATCTGGTTTTTCGTACCTGTGTCTATCGGTAAGTTTCAGATGATTTCTGTCTCGTTTACTCACTAAGTAACTACTAACTGACTTACAGCTGTTCATATTATTAGGGACTAGAGAAATGACGATGTGAAATATGACTTAGTACACCTATTTTAGTCAACAATTGTATTTATTTTTACAAGCTTTCTAAAAACTCATTGATTATTATTTCCAACCGTTTCCTTGTACAGCTGTAGTCAGCTAACTGTAAACATTATACCAATTACTTTGTGTTCTAAATGACTGTGTTCAACGTTTGTGATCCGTTGTGTTGTGGACATGCTACTTGTCTGTATGAATGCATTACCGGCAACCGGATCTGATGGGAAGAAAGACTGGTAGTTAAAACGTTGAAGACATCTCATTTTGTGTTCAGTTTACTCAATGACTGACCCACAGGTGAGGAAAAGCATGTGATTCGAATTGTACTAATTTATCTGAGTGACTTTAAAAGCCACCCTGACAACTACTAAGATGACCAGTCAGGCTTCTGTATTTCGCCTGAAAAAGTACTTTTCCTCATTAGTTGCTAGGGTGACCTTTGAAGTCATCGATTTATCTGACGTCATTAAAGCTCAGTTTGGTATTCTTGTGAATTGTGACAGCATACGTTGTCTTGCAGCTACCTATCATTTTGTAAAAATGTTTTCACAAGTAGTTGGTTTTTCGTTATATTTTCCAAGTAGTCTATCACAAGATGGAATATTACTGATTAGTCACCAGTACTAGACAGGGAGAATGGAGGCTGCAGAAAAAGTTATGGTGTGAAGTGATGGTGGTGGTTGCAGACTCTTGAGTTCGATAGTTTTTATTTATCAGTGGTATTACTTTTATACTTTAGAGTAGACTTCTCGGAAGAGAACCGTAGTTCGCTCACTAATTCACAAACAAATTAGCGAGAATGTGTGCGCATGACTTCGGTCCACGGAATGTGAAGAATGAAGTGTTTCATTCTGATGAATACCCACAGTGATACATGTCAGTACACGCGTCTTGTATTTTCTCTTATTTCTGTAGGATAATGCACCGATGATTTTGGGCACTCTCAATGCGGCATATCATCGATCCGAGTATTTTATTCACATCCATCTTTTGTGCACTTTGTATATACAATATATATATATATATATATATATATATATATATATATATATATATATATATATATTCTTCTTTTTTAGTTTTATGAAAAGAGTCTATGTGAAAATCTTGGTGATCGAGATTGACCAGTTTGTGAACTTGTGTGGTTGGCTCTAACTGGATTAGCGTTAGAATGCGTCGAAATTTTCTGTATATGAGAATAAAACTTTTAAAAAAATTTTTGATCTATTTGTGTCAGTTAAAAATTGAACATCCCATTATACTAAATATCATAATCATTATTTCACTGGGTGTTATATTGTTCATTAACTGTTCAGAAAAACTGTATTCACACCTGAAACTTTCGTTTATAGTTCCAAAAATGGGAGACGTAAACACCTTATTTTTATATGAGTAATCAACGGTGTTGTAATAATATGGTCATGGATATCTTGAATTAACCAGCTCATAAATCCTTTTGTTTTTGTGAAGATCTTTGCGATCTGTGATACTCGTGCAGTCCTTTCACCTAGCTGATATAAATGACAACTAGTCTCGTCGATTTTGCATAACTCACAACATTCAAGTTTTTTCTCTTCATCTTCCACTTCACTGCATTTCTAATTGACGTACTGATATGATCTGTGGCAAATCGGACCGCTACGCAGTAATGCCTGGTCTTATGTTAATTTCGATGAATGGATGCATGATAATCACGTGAAGGTTGGATGATAACAAGAAGGGTTGCGTAAGATTTCTAAATCGTTTACCAGGTGCATATAGATTAAAAAGGAGTGAAGACGTCGTAGAGTTAATAAACAATCAAAACATTAGGTAATATGAGTGAGACAAGTTAAGTGGAATAAATTGGAAATGTTTTGTTAAAAGTTGTGATTATTAAGAAGATCAAATGAAATAACACCGGGAACAATTGAATATAAAAACAAAATGATTATGACGGTATAATAGAACAAGGATTGATCTGTCTGATAAAAAGTGGGGGGTTCTGAAAAAACAAAATAGGAACGAAACACACCACGACCAAAATAAGCTAAGGCCAAGGTAGAGACAAAGACTGTACATACTTATTTTGCACACATAGGTTGGGCTTCAGTTCATGGATGGCCAATGCCTCTGTTGTTTTTAGAAGCTGAACACGGAGAAAACGCGAGATGTTTGAGCGAATTCGGTAGACAACCTTAAAATCATTGTTTTTGTTGGTTGAATGGCTGGGATCGATTAAATGTTCAAGGATAGAACTTCTGATGCATTTCTTTTGACCTTTATAAAACCAGACAGGAATATGTTCTCGTATACGTGTTGACAACAGTCTTTAACTACGCCTCATGTACCTTTCTGCACAGGAGCAGGTGAACTGGTAGATACACATGGAGTTGGTCTATCGAGTGATATTGTCTTTTATGCAAACGGAGAACAATTTACGACTGGTAAAGATCAAGTGAAGTTTGGCTGAGAAAAATTCCTACTAATTGATCTGGAAAGACGGTTTTTCAGGATATTTGGTGCTGCATCACCTTTAAATTTCAGATGCATGAACAAAGTCTTTTTAGAAACTGAGCTGATGACTCGTTTCGCATGTCTTTCTCGCATATTCTTATCGATAAGTCGGCTAGGATAGCCATTTTCTGCGAGCGTCCGTCTTAGAAGGTCAAGTTCAACTTGGACACAGTCAGTGTTACAGATATCACGTATTCGATAGTAAATTGAGTGAATGAGGTTTCTCTTTCTCATGGTCGGCACTCAGCTATAGAAACTAGATAGCTGTCGATCATCGAAAGTTGCTGGTATCCCAACATATTACGAGGGAGAAAACATGTGTTGCATCTTCCTGGCACCAAAATGCAATTTGAAGTACGGTAAGTACAAAAAAACGTTTTTGAACTTTTAGTTGTATTTTTGGTTTTTTTTTTGAAAAAATTTTGTCCCTTTTTAAAGTAGTGAACAAAACTTATGAAAACGCTGTGTTAGTGTGTGCAAGGATAAAAAAGCTGAAACTCCGAATTTACCAAGTGTGAAGTTGCACTGGGGCTAATTAACGTAATCGGCGTATTGTTTTGGCCAATGTGACACTCCCCTCCCAGTATGTGTGGAGAGTACTGGCTCAGTGTTATTAGAGGTGGCTTTTTTTAGAAGATCCAAAGAGTCTGGCAGCAAGGGTTTTTCTAGTTGTGTCGGTGTAGAGGGAGGTGGGTCGTACTCTATATAAGCTGCCTTCAAACGATCGACACTTATGGAATCCTGCCGTCCAGATCTGTCAATGACGAAGAAGTTTTCTTTCTTACTGAGAACCTTGAAAAGTCCGTCGTATTGTGGCTGTAAGGGTTTACGTACACCGTCACAACGCACAAAGACATGGGTGCAATCTTGGACTATTTTATCCAACTGCACCGGTCTACACTATCCGTGTGGATGGGGGTCGGAGGTGACGCATGTGAAGCTTAAGAGTTTGCACATGGCCATGAATATCGGTAGGAGTTGGGTCATTACAATTTGAAGCGACCATTTCACCCGCAAACGTAAGTTACTGCAGTAAACTAACTCAGCAGTAGAACGCATGCTGAGAAGAACCAACGGCAGAGACTCGGTCCATCTCATATTGTCGACTGCCATTAGTGCGCTCTAAAGATGTCGATGGAATCGTTCCACCAAACCATTGGAAGCTGGGTGATATGCAGTAGTGCGGATGCGTTTGCATCCCAACAGATTTATCAGCTTCTGGAAGGTAACGGATTCGAACTGTCGGTTGTCACGGTGGAAGAGCATCGAGACTGTGAAACCCATCCTTCGACGAAGACCCGACTTACTGTTTCGGCAGTAATGTCGGACAATGGGATGGCTTCCGGGCCAGCGGGCAAACCTATCGACACATGTCAGTAGGTAGCAATATCCATCTGAGGGTGGTAGTGAGCCAACAATGTCTAAATGGACATGGGCGAATCGGGAATTCGGTTTAGCGAAAGTTCCAAGTGGTGGGATGTTGTGACGATTCACCTTGGAACGTTGGCACTGAATACATGACCGTGTCCAGTTTCGAACATCACGGTTAATACCGGGCCACACAAACCTAACAGATATCAGTTTGTCAGTAGCACGTATATCAGGATTCGAAAGACTGTGCAAAGCATCAAAAACGTGCTTACGCAAGGGTAAAGGAACAACTGGTCTGGTTGTGCCTGTAGAGATGTCGCATAATGTTGTCCCTTCACTGTTCACGAGCGGTAAATGCTGAATCTCCAGAGAGGTTGAGTGTTGAAATTTCTCCATCTCCTCGTCTGAATCTTGAAGTTCAGCAATCTTCCTTAAGTCAACCCCCTGAGGTGAAGTAGTGGTACAAACGCGAGATAGTGTGTCTGCGACGGGGTTATTCACACTGGAAATTTGACGGATGTCCGACATGTATTGCAAAATATGGTCTAGATGACGTGAATATCTGTCGGTGATGGTGTGTAAGAAGTCAAAGGTGTGTGGTCGGTAAAGATAATGAAACCACGACCTTCCACAGTGACGGGAGTGCTTAACTGAAGCATATATGCTGAGTGATTCCCGGCCAAAAGTGCTGTACCGCATTTCGCAGACGGATAGCTTCCGGCAGAAGAATGCAAGCAGGATCTAAGTGTGATCCGAAAGTTGTTGCAACACATCTGCAATGGCCGTGTTAGAGGCGTCAACCGCAATGCTAAGAGGTAGGTTTACGTCTTGATGTACCAGCATCGTGGCGTCTGCTATTGCGGTTTTGATCTTGCGAAATGCGTCTAGTGTCTCGAGAGTCATGCTGAAAGTTTTACACTAACCTTTCAGCAGGTCGGTCAGCGCATTCAAGGTGTGAGCACACTGGGGGAAGAAACGACGACAATAGCTCACCATCCTCAGAAACTCACGCAGAGCTTTAAGTGGCACTGGGACTGGAAAGTCTTGGATCGCCTGTACCTTTTCAGGTAGTGAGCGAAAATCTTGCTCGTCTATAACGTGTCCTCAAAATTTTAGTGAACGAACGCCAATCCGGCATTTAGCTAGGTTGACTGTCATCGAATGTTCTGACAGTCTGGCGAAAACCTGCTTCAAGTGGTTGAAATGAATGTATTCATCTGGAGTAGCGATTAGTATGTCGTCTCAATAGGCATAGGCGAAGTCTAGCCCACGTAAAACATCGTGAATAAAACATTGGAAAGTTTGTGCTGCGTTGCGAAGACCAAAGGGCATATGAAGGAACTCAAAAAGACCAAACGGTGTAATGACAGCTGTCTTGGGAACATCATCAGGATGAACTGGGATCTGATGATATGCACGCGTCAAGTCAAATTTACTGAAGATAAACAAGCCTTTATAGATGCAGTCAAGACGTGTATGTGAGGGACTGGGTAACGATCTGGAATCGTTTTAGCGTTGAGCCTTCGGTAGTCACCACAAGGCCTCCAGTCCGTGCCATTGTTCTTTGGTACCACATGCAAGGGTGAAGACCATGGACTGTTGGATAGTCTGATTATTCCCATTTCAAGCATGTGTTCAAACTCGGCTTTTACAGCATGCAGTTTCTTCGGGGATAATCGCCGTGATTTAGCAAACACTGGCGGGCCAGTCATCGTTATGTGATGAGAAACGTTCGAAGTCACACAAGGTACACAACGATTTGGCCTTAAGACATCCGGAAAGGACTGAATAATAGACGCATAGGGACTGAAAGCGTCCGTCGTGGAGTACACGGGACTGAGGGACGACGTCTTTGTAACAATGCCGGAAACAGAGAGTCTTGTGGTAGAATCGATCAACTTATGCTTGCCAGCATCTACCAGCAGCTGATAGTGCTGTAAGAGATCCATATCAATAATGCCGGTGGTCACATCGGCCACTATGAAAACCCAACGGAGAGAACCATGCAGTCTAAGGTTGACGTCAAGAAATCTCCGACCATATGTTGTGATGGGCGAACCGTTGGCGGCACGAAGTTGCCGAGACATTGGCCGCAAACACTCTTCACTCGTGAGTAGGATGACGCTAGCTTCCGTCCCAGTGTCAAGCGGGAAGCATATCCCAGAATGTCGGTCCGTGACGAAGAAGAGGTGACATGTAAGTGGTTCGCCAGTGACGTTAGTCGCCGGCACGTGCTGGCTCACACGTTTCCCGCCTG